CCTGCTGAGTCGAAGAGAAATGTGGTCTTACATCTTCTGTTATTCTTCCTTTTTAAAGTGTAGTTATAATGAGTATAGTACTAGCCTTTTAATTGAACACATTTGTATGACTTGAAATACATGTATCTTGGAGACTTTTAGAAGCTGTTGCTGTTCTTTTCTCATTAACTGTATTGGCTCTGCAGTGATTTCTTGGAGAGTTTTGGATTCTGTTTGGACGTGTGCAAAATCAGCAGAAGAGCAGGATGAAGTCCCAGCTGAGACTCTCTTGAGAGCAATATTTGATTTGACTGCCAGTTTGAATTTGCAGCTTGTAAGTTAGGAGCAGAAAAACATCTTCTTGCACGTTTTCAATGTGCAAATTCAGCACATTAGATCTGAAAAGTACTGACTGATAATAAACTGTAGTATTATAAGCTGCAGTAGTGGTATCTTACTGTCATTAATCAAACACCTGCACTTAAATACTCAAAATGTGAACTTACTAGGTTAGAGTTTTAAAGGGTCTTATCCTATCCATAAAAACTATCCATGCATCCTTGTAAGATTTTTTTTTTTTGGTGATTGCAGTGCTGTCAGCAGAGAACATGATAGTTGGTTCCTGTTTTGTTTTGGTTTTGAAAGGCTTTCTTTTTGGTTTAGTTGTTTTATTTTTTCTGTCTTTTTTCTGTCTCCTCCCCTTTTTTCTTTTGAACAAATACAAATGTTGTGGACCTTACCTAAAGAGGAGTTATCTTATTTGATTTATTTTAGGTGTTTGGGTTATTAGCAGTTTAAGCACTGGCCAGATTTATAATAATTTTAAAAGCTCAAAAGCTGTTTGTGGAAGACTTGGAATTTTTGATGGAGGATGCAGTAGAAGTGCCAAGTTTTTTGAGACATTTGGGTGTTTATAAGCCCCATTTAAAGTTACATTATAGAACTGCAATATTTGACAGTTCTGTAGCTCAGCTATTAGGGTTTCATTTATAAATTCCTATCTTTCTATCCTAACTATGTGGGGGGCTTGTGGGGAGGAGAGTTCTTTTTTGTTTTGTGTTTGTGTTGTTTTTTACTCATTGATGTTTCAGAGCGGGTTCTAGTGACTGGATGATTTAACTAAGATGAAATATTTGCTTTTTTTTTTTTTTTTTTAACTGAATGCTCAAATAAAGACTCAAGTAGGTCTGTTTTTTATTACTTTTTTTTATTTATTATTAATATACTCCTGTTCCTCCTTTTCTGGTAGTATCATGTCTTGTACTGAGCTGAAATTAGCATGATACAATCAGAATTCTACTCTATTCTGTGATTCTTTGAATTTTGGTTGCAGCAGAGACCTTGCATACAAATAACATGAATGATAACTTCTTTTAAAATGCGTAGCATTCTGAAAAAAACCCTACCCCTCTCTACAAATAATCTAGTAGCAGGAGTAGGAGGAAGCTGAATGAAACAGAAGTTACAGTCGTCTTGAAAGGCAGTTGATTCAGGAGAAATGAGAAGGTTTGGTGGTGCTGCAAAGCAGACACTCAACAGTCATGCCAGCCATCTATCCGCCTGTTTAAGCCAGCAATAGTACATATCCCTCTTGGTGTGTTACAACACATATCCTACTTGGCATGCCAGTGAAATAGAGAACAAGAAGCCTTTGCTTCTCCTTCATCCCAACGTTCTGCAAGGATTTACAATTCTCATTCTTTTCCCTCTTGGCAAGAGATGAGAAGCCAACATTCAGAGATGAGCTCAGTGTTATATTGAATGCTTTACTCAGGAGGCTAAAAATCATAAGTGCTGATAAAACTGTTAGTAATGACCTCCTTTTCAGGCATGTAATGTTTTGAAGGATGGCCTTGAAGTTACCCCTCTCACGGCTGCCTCTGAGCAGAAGCAGTGACTGGTCAAAAACCTCCTAAGAGAGAATTTTTAGTGCTGTTGTGTTGTCTGACTCCCCTTTCATGAAATTAATAGTAGTTTGTATTAGAAGAATCTCATGCCATAGGCCCTGAACTTTGTAGTGAAGACCAGAGGGTATTACTGTGTCTCGCGATAACTTGCACTAGTTAAGAAACCCAAAGACACGTATGGGCATTGTATTGAAGTTAGACTGCAGGCACAAACATACGTTTACAATTGCGTACTCTGAGCTTACCTGAATAACAAGCTATGCTTCATTAGCATTGATTTCTGTTCTTCATGTAAACTTTAAAGCCTTACAGCCTTTGCTCTTTAGCGCTGTCACTCTGACCTTTTGTTTGTGTTCTTCCTCTCAAATGACTATAGCATTCTTCTACGTTAAATCTTGCCACTCAGTGGGGGGGGGTTTGTTGTTGAACAAAACAAAACATTAATCAAATACAGACTATTGATTTGACTTTTTGTTGCTGACATTTTTAAAACAGAGAAGAAAGATGAAGTGGTATATTATGACACTTACGAAAGTATGGAAGCCATGCTTGAAAAAGAGGATATGGCAACATCTGTACATCTGCAAAAAGAGGAACTGCAGAAATTACAACAAAAAATCCGCCAGCTGGAAGCAAGGCGTGGACGTATTTCAGCCAAGAAAGCCTACCTCAGAAATAAAAAGGTACTTTAAATTGCAAAATTCTAGCATAATTTAGCAAATTTAGTGAAACTTTAAAAGATTGCATTTCAGATACAGCTTCCAAGTCTCTCAGAATTTTCAGAGATTGTATTTACTACTTACTAAAACTTATTTTACACTGTTACTAGACAAATACAGTGGCAAGTATCAAAATTTTGAGATGGCAGTGTAATACCTTTTTTAAAATATGTTTTCACCTGATACTATAGAGTATAAGGCTATACGGAAGTCTCTGTTAAGACCCCATTCTAAATTAGGACCAGGGTTGGGATGGTTGTGTATTCGCAATCATGTCACATGATGTGGGAGATCACACCTTTATAAACAGTTATGGTAGGCTCAGGGTAAAGATCTGTCCTCTCGTTCGTAACTAATATGTCTGTATCTAAATCTGAAGCATAACAGAGGAAATAAAGCAATAGTTGATATGTTTTGTGTTTTTTATATTTCTGCAGTCACCATCCTCTCTGTGATGAACACTATGGATATGAATATAGATAAATTGTTGTAAAACAAATTTCTCTTGTTAGTTGGGAAATAGTTTGCTTAGAGTCATCAAGTTTGTGATTTTTGTAAAAATGAAAAGTATCAAGCTGGGCTTTTGAATACTTTTGGGAATTATTTCCATCTGTCATGTGACGCTAATTAGTATATACTACATTAAAATAGTTAGAACTATTTTCTTCTGAGTATGAAGAGACACTGTAGGCACCTTATGGAGTATACAGACCTGTTTAAAAGCTAGAAGCTGGTTATTCCATGCTTACCTACGAAGGAGAAGTTGAGAAGTGACCCTGAAGCAGGAATAGATTCTTTTTTTTTTTTTTTTTTTTTTTAAAGCATGGCTTTTTATATGTATAGCTAACTAGTCCCCTTCTGCTGGTTCATTTGTTTCAAGGTTTTACTATGATAAAATATCTTGCTTAAGCGGGAAGGAATTGCTTTTTCTAGGCTACATCACTAGGTGCAGCATGCCTACTTGTACGCTGAAACACAACGCAGAGTGTGTATGGTAGTACTGCTCATCTGGCTTGGCTCGGCCTCTAGGAGTAATGTAGTCATGTCCACTTAAACTTGTGCTGGAATAGTGTGGCTATACTGCTTTCTGTGTGAAACATTACTGCTGAGTGAGGACATCACAGCACTCTTTAAACTAGTTCCAGCTCTCTCTACTAACTTCATTGCCCAGTGTAGAAATACCTGCAAGTGATTGCTGTAGTCAGATGCTTAGCTTTCAGCTACCAAAGAAAACAGAGATTAGAATAGCATGTATTTAAATTTGCAGGAGGAAATCAAAGATTTTGGTTTGAGCAAAAAGAATAGGCAGAATCAGTTGTTCTGTGCCATTTTATAGCACTTGTTGGGGAGAAAACAACACAGCCATTTTAATGAATATTTATATTAAATAGGTATTTACTGTAACTGCTCTTACTATTGCTGAATACAGCTCTAATTCAGAGTCCTGCTGAGCTTCCTAGTAGTTACCTGGAAGATCAGGCGTCTTGTGTCTTTGATTAAAGCATAAGCAAGCGTTATATCTTGAATTACTATTGCTGTAATGTTGCAAACCGTGTTGTTAATGAACATTACTTTTAGTGCCTGATGTACGTAGTTGTACTTTACAAACCTGTTGGAAAACAAGGTTCTTGCACTAAAGAGTTTGCAGTTTAAATTAAACGTGCAGAACAATGATGCAGATGGGACGCAAAAGTGGAATCCAGGTTGCGAGAATGAGTGAGTCAATGACTGAATGCTAAGTGGAAAAAGAAAGAGTACAAATGCTACGTGGTAAAATTATTTCCTGAAAGTATGTCTTTCTCTCTCAGTTAAGAAACATTTATTGCTGAACAGAGGGGCTAAGAGTCTACTCGATGCTTTTCAGGTTGTGTTCCTGACTGTGCTTGATTCAGTGAAGTATCTTAAAACATAACTGTAAGCAAGTGTTTTGATTTTGGTTGGTGGGGTTTTGGTGCCCCCCCCCCCTTTTTTTTTAATCTTGGCAGGTCTGTTATCAAAACCAAAAAAGCAAGCTGTGCCTTAAGTGGTGCATACTGCAATATTGTGAAATATGTAGGAATATAGAAATTATAGCTGTTGCTTATTAGCTTTTTGGCAGCTGAAGATACCATTAAGAGAATGCGTCCTTTCAGGCAGCGGATAGCATGGTTAAGAAAACGATAGGAACCAATTCTGTAACATCAGTTTTTGTTTTTTGGAGAAGGCTGTTTCAGCATCCAAATATTTGAAAATCTTGTCTGTGAGTGAAAGGGGACCAAATGCTATGTGCAGAATAAGACTTTATGCGATATAAGCCTATACCCTTCTGTGACCACAATCTCTTTTCATTGTTTTTTTTAGAAATCTTTCCTTTTTTTTCTATCTGATGCTTTTTATTTTTTAGTACTGCTGTCAAATAATTGTAACAAACCTTTTTTGTTTGCAAACCCTTGCTAAAGGTCTTTTGTTAGAGCCCTCATTCAGTTGAGATTTTGAGCTGCTGAGCCAGTGCTTCTTAAGTTTATGGTTTTACTGAGGTTGATCTGTCTTTCACTGTACTAACATGAGTATAGGCTTTCTTCTCTCATAATTTCTTACAAAACATGTATTTGCGTTTGTTGAGCAATCACTTCCTGATGCTCCTTTGTGTTGATGCTAGTGAGCTAGTTATTAAAAAATCAGATTTTAATAGTTGTCTCATTATTTTTCCGTATTTCTTGAAAGCTAGTTATGGATTTTGCCTGCAGGGTGCATCTGCTGTTATGCCGCTCCACCCCCTGCTGGCTGCGCAGTGGTATCCCTGAGGGTGCAGCGTGAAACGAACAGCCGTTCTCTTGGGGAGCTAGGTAGCAAAGAGACAAGGTGAAAAAGACAGCGCAGGTGTCTAGGAAAATATCTTTGAAATTGAATTATTGTATGTACGGGAAAACTATTCCTTATTATAAGTGGAGAGAGAAAACTGGCTGGTGAAGCTATTTGCAGTATATTCGTAAGCGCTATGCATGCTTTGACCTAGGGAGCTTCCTGACGTGCCATGGTGTCCGTTTAATATGTGATCTTTGATTCTTTGCAGGTACGCAGTTTAGAGAATAGCTAATGCCAAAACAGGTGCTACGTAGTTGCAGTAATAGTTGAAATATGGTTACTTCATATGCTTTCGTGTTATCATTATTATATTTTAAAGACACGACAAAACAAATTATACAATAGAATATGCTTTCTGTACATACAGAGCTTACTAAATGAGAAGCTGACTTTTTATTGGGATGCTTTTCAGTTTGAAAGGTGGGCTCACTGGAACTAGTTAGAAGATCTATATTAGTATTATACTTAGTTTATGTATGCTATATGCCAATATTATATTTAACTATGGTAGTTTATCCAGTGAGAAGGTCTGAAATGGTTGATCAACTCCTCTTTTCTGTTTTCCAATAGAAGCACAATTTGATATTACAGAAATCAGTCAGGTGATTACAAGAGAAGTGAGCAGTACTACTTATTGCTGTCTGAATTCTGTACAGCTGGTCAGCATGCTCACTGAAGGATGCTCCAGCTGAAGCTTTACCAGGGCTGAGCAGAACAAGAGGATTACTGGAGAGGTGTTGCAGGCCACGTACACCCAATGTACCCAGTTATGATGCTTTGTTTTTGCTAATGTGAGATTGTTGATTTATGGGCAGCTTGTCATCCACCATAATCCTCCAGATCATTTTCTTTGGTGCTGAAACCTAACTATTTGTTCTTCATCCTTTATTTGCAGTCACTTATTCCTGTCTACAATTAGAACCCTGCGTTTGTCCCTATGAAATTGCAGCCTTTGTTTTTTTTAGACCATTTCTGTAATTAGTTAAGATGATTCAGAATGTTAATCCTGTGCTGCAACATGTTTTCAGCCCCTCCTAGTTTTTTTGCTTTGTTTCAAGTCATAGAGACCTAATTACATTAAAGTAGGTCATTTCTTTCTTAGCATAAAGTCAGTACCAAATATGTTTTGGTCCATTGTATCCTTTCTTTACATAGTTAAAATATCTAGCATTGCTGTTCTTAGGCAGAAAGATTTGAATGTTGATGCTAAACAGAAAATGTTTCAGAAAGTTGTACCTCCCCCAAGTATTTGTGAGATTCTTGTAATTTGCATATTAAAGTTTCTCTCATACTGACGCGTTGTCAAGACTAAAGAATGAAAAACAAAAAAACCTCTAACCCTGAAATATGATCTTTCTGGGACTTTTACAGTACTGTTTTAATGGAACTTAACACATAGATAGAGAATAAACTGTGAAGGTGAAAGTATTACACAAAGTCTTTCAGATTCTCATAGTATAGAGTCAGTGCCAAATACATTTTGGTCCAGTTTATTCTTTCTGTAATTCCTGTGCATCTGACCTTCTTTGGGCCTAATTTCATTGCCCATGCTGTCTGACTTCCTGGCCTGCAGTATTGCCAGGTGCGCTGGTCCATCTCTTGGCTACTCTGCACACCTGCAGGTGCCTTTCCTTTACAGTTGATGCTTCATGCAGTTCAGACTTCTTTTGTAATCTGCCTGAAGTTTGAGTGTCATGCCTCATCTTGTCATCTGTTGTAACTTATACTGTTTCCTTTTTAGTTTGTTACTCTTATTCTCAGGCAACATAATAAATGCTTGCTTTTAAACTTGACATTTCAGATGTGAATTCTGTGTAATAAAGGAACCTGTTTGTGCATGCATAAAATTATAACAATTTTATTAATGTTTGTACTTACAGATTGGTTATACGTGCAAAGGATGAACTGACACTTGTAAATGCGAAGTTACCTAGTTGCGTAAACAGAAATACACAGTGTATTTGAGAGTTAGTTACCGTTATCCACATATAATAATACATGGAACTGCACAGGGATTTTATTGATTCCCCAACTGTCTGACAAATCATCGTGTCTTGCCGCTTCTCTACTGGTATTGTAGAACAGACTTGTCAAGCACTGCTACTTGTAAATATTCATTTGGCAGTTAAAAGGAGTAGGTTATGGTTTTATTTGTAAACTAAATTAGCTTGGTTGAACAGTTGTCTGAGATTGGTTTTGTAGTTTTTATTTTTCTAATTCTCAGTGCTGCTTGCTAAATATTACATTTCATACTGTAAATTGATATTTAAAATGTGTATTTTATAGGTACTGTTTTATGTCTCTACAGGAGATCTGTATCGCAAAGCATAATGAAAAGATCCAGCAGCGTCACCACAGCGAGGAGGAGTACAGAATGCACCATACTGTACAGCTAGTAAGTTTGAGCTCTCTGCCGGTGAGGTTAGCCTTTAGTTAATTGCTTATATTCCTCGTTATACTTTCATTAGCAGTTTTCAGTGATAGCTGTTTTAAACAGATGATGTGTGTCCTTGACCTTTGGACCATGGACTTCTGTGCCATGTTATGCTGGTGAGAGGGAGTATATAGCTATGTTAAGATGACACTGAAACTCAGCAAATAAAACAGTTCATCAATAGCAGGCTCACAGTCTAAGTGATTACTGTTAGGCTAAGGGCACATGCAGAGCTTGTTAACATTTGCACACAGACGATTCTGGACATCTCTGAGTACAGCATCAGATATGCTGAAACGAGTAAAGACACCTTACATATTTATTTTTGCATGGTAATAAGATTATTCGTTATTTTTCTTTCACTTTGTTTTTAACAACAAAAAATCATTTGAATGTGTTTTGTAAAGTATGTAGTTCCAAATGTGTGCTCCATGACTCTCTGAGCAGTCTCATCACAGAAAATAAGCAGTTAGTCCAACTGTTGTGTTGTACATAATAGACTTTGTCTTAAAGAGCATTCAAATTCTGGGTGAGGTCTTGGGAGCTGATATAGTATCAATATTTAATAATGATGACTTTGTCAAAGATGCATTGAAATCCAAGTCTTTTTAATTCAGGCTCCAATTAGATCAGTGAAAGTGATTCTATTTCATTCTTATACATTTTTAACATTGATACATTTGTTCAGGGAGTCAGCTGCATAATTTATTTTATGAAAAGCCTACTTGTGAAAGACAATACGAATTGGCGTACTCTTTCAGGAACTTCGAACAATAAAGCAAAGGACTTTGCTATGTGGATTGCAATTCATTTATCACTTTTAAAACTAAGATTTGCCAAAGCTGAGGAGCTTTTTCTTGCTTCTCAGATACTACTTTTTAAAAATTATTTTAATTTCATGGAGTTAACAACTTACATTATATAAAGAACCTTGTGCCTTTAAAATCTTTTTTCTATTCATAATTGGACTGAAAATGTCTACTATTATTTTAAAATAGGTTTTCAGACACTTGTATTCAAGAAAAATTTTGAAAGGATAACCTCAAAGGTGTCCAGACCTGAAACTAGATAAGAATTGCAAATTCACTATTCTTATATATAAAAAACCCCTCAAGTTCAAGACTTTTTTTCAGGAAAATTCGACCTGATTGCATATGAAACATTCAGGTGTGTGCTGGTAGGAGAACTGCCCTTCTTTCTTCTTGCTGTAATCTTTTCTTTATGCTTCCTTTGTAGCCTTCTAGCCCTGTTGTTTCTGTTTGAACCACACGCTTCTTTTCCTTGCCTCCTTTTTCTGTTTCCTGTCCTTACCATTTTTCAGCCATGTCCTTCTCTTCCTCTCCTGAAAACCTCTATACTTACTTCCTTTGAAAGCACAGAAATTGGCCCATTAGAAGGATAGCGGGCAAGTCACTCGCTTACGAAAATGGTAGGCAGGCACTGCTCTTATGTTGGCTAGATGAGAACGAAAGTTCACAAAGGTGATATGAACTGCCAGTGATCAAAATCAGCCTTTAATAGTCACACTTCATGCTATGAAACTTGCAAGAATTAATGGTGCTGTTTCTGCTTAGAAAGTTTTCTTTACAGTCATCTGTTCTGTCATGTTGTTACTTTCCCATTTGATAACTTCTGAACTTACAAATCCAGTAACTGTTTGGGTTTGATAACTAGTGTCCACTTGCAGTAAATCTGACTGAAGGAGTAGTGTTTCATTTCAAAGATGTAGTAGCTTTCTTTCAGTTTTGTGAAAATGGATGACTAGTTAAAGGAGGTGGATCCAAAGGTGTGTTTTCACTGAGGTAAGTCTCATACAAGAAAACTGTGCAACTGTTTTGGCTGTGAGGAGGAGCTTCAAACCATTATTTAGACAAGGTTACAGAAAATCAGTGTGGATTAAATAATGACATGTTAAGTTCATTCGATACAAAACTTTAGTCTACCATTATAACTTTATTATAATAATTTACTTCAAAAATGTGCTAAATATTGTCTTCAGAATTTTGTGGCACTGAGTTCTGTAGTTTCTTGCGCTGTGAAGATACTAATATTACTTGTTTTAAATGTGCACCCTTAAGATTATTATCCTTTTGTTCCTGGTATGAGAAAAAATGAATACTGATTTGCTCTCTGCCTAATTTACACCATTTTAGTTCATGCTGTTATTCAATTGATAAATTGTTATTTATCATCTTTTAGGATAAAAAGTTCTAATGTTTTTTCAGTCCTTCTTTATTGCGTTTCACGTTTCTTCAAGGTTATAAAATATGAAATACATAGTAGCTTTTTTTTCTTTTAAGGGAAAACAAAGGCAAAGCTTTGAAGTTCAGAAATATGTTTATTAGAGAAGAGATTGTTAGGTAGTTCCTAACAATTAGAAGAAGAGTTATTTTAATTCATTTTTATATGTTAAACATAGCACTGGTTGTAGTGTCCAACATATTTTCCATATATTTTTTTCAGAAGAGAGATCAACTACAAGAAGAAGAGGAAAGAAAGAGTTCCTGGGTTAGTCAAGAGCGACAGAAAACACTGGACAGACTTCGCACATTTAAACAGGTAACAGAAGAAGAGTTATTCTTCTTTTCCACCATTTTCTTTTGAAGAGGAAATTTTCACCGCATTCCAGGAGCGCACAGAATAATTGAATAATTAACTGTTCTTTAGAAAATTTACGAAAGAGTAGGGCATTGGTGGCAGCGAAGTTCTCTGGCCATTGCCTTCCCAGTGCTCTGATAAGCTTCTGTTTGCTGTCATATGTATGCATTGTGACAAGGCATTTAGCACACTTTCCTAGCAGAAGTATAATCTAAATGATAATTCCCACAAAGAGCGTTATCATCTGGCATACACCCAGCCACTCCCACTGCTTCTTACAACACCTGCCAATTCCTGGCCCTCCCTGTTACAATCTAAGTATCAGAAAAGGAATAGAAGATGGAGAGAAGGAGAGGGAATGAGGAGAGGGATGAAAGTGCAAGAAAACAGAGACCGTATTAATTAGTGAAGAAAACTTTTGTTTCTGCTGTGTATGTAATAAAGTACTGGTATGAGAAATTTGATTGCTGGAAAGCTGTATTGCTCAGCAATACCCTTGCTATATCCTTTTTCTTTGTAAGGCTTTTGAAATGCATAGCCTCTGTAAATTAAAGCAAGGTTACTTATTACAATCAGCACCTGTTAATTAACTTATTTTGTATATGAATATCTTTATATTGATATGAATTCTATTGCTTTGGGCCTGCCACAATGTTTAAAATGTTTTAGAGCTGGCTTTCAGAAGTAGTTTTTACTTTTGCATAAAAATGGCTATGGGTGCAACTGTAATTTGAAAAGACGGGTTGCAAATTTAGGAACTAAATTAAAAACACTTTGGAAATTCTCAGAATGTTTGATGTTTTCAAGAGATACCTTATTAAGTGGTAAGATTCACAGCAAAGACCAGTGCATCAGCAGGTCAGAGAGGACTTTGTTGCAGAGACAAACATTGGCCAGTTTTATAAAAGGGAAGCAAGAGGTAATTTTGAATTTTAGTTTTCAGAAAAAACACTATTTCAAATAATGAATGTGGTTCTTAATGAAATCCCATTTTTAACCCATGTCCCTGGCTAGACCAGCCAGATCTAAGTTATGGCTTAACTAAGAATAAAAATTAAGAAAATGAATCATTTTTGCATAGAAGTGAGGATATTCTTGCTTTGTTTTTAACTCTAGAGCAACAAGAATGAAAATATTTACCTGAATTTTGCTCATCAGAAAGGCAAAGCCTATTGACAGTTACTTAGTATCTAAAATAGCGTGTTGCATGTACTTATCTAATTGTAAATATCCGCTTCACTTTAGCGGTACCCTGGGCAAGTAATACTTAAGTCAACCAGACTACGACTGGCTCATGCAAGAAGAAAATGTACAGGCAGCTCAATATCCTCTGTAGGTCAGCCTCAATCTTTGCCAGCAACCATACAACCCCAAGAGAAGAGTGAAGAGGTGGAACTGGAAAACGTAGTTCAGTCTTTGCAAGCACAGGAGTCCAGAAGCTTAGAACAACTTCAAGATGTTTTGTTACCTCCGAATGGTGTTACCTCTGAACTGCCTCTTGTTAGTACTTCTCCACTCATTAGTAATGAGCTTCAACCAGAGACTGTTACTGTAGTACCGCTCCCTCCCCCTTTGCCTCCGCCACCTCCACCTCCACCCCCACCTCTGCCCTCCAAGGAAGATGCCACCAAATCCTTAGAGAAAACCGACAGCCTTGTTAAACGGCAGAGCGAGGAGAAGGGAGTCCAGCACTCTTCCAGTGTCCCAACAGCACATCTGTTTGACAGTAGTCAGCTAGTCAGTGCCAAGAAGAAGCTTAAGAAGACGGGTGATCTAGAGGGTTTACAGAGGAGGAGAGGTAATGTTTTTGTTTCCATATATTTAGATGTAATGTACCAATTCCTCTTTTGAATTGCTATATAGAGAAGTGTGTACTCTGATTTATAAAATATTAATGCAAAAATTGTTAAATCCTTTTCAGCAGCTGAAGACTGCTGGCAACTCAAACAAATGTTAGAACCTTTATGACAGTGTACTGTGTACTTGTTCAGTTAAACAGAAAAAGCTTATGAAAGGGATTATGTGATAGACCATGTTCTACTACCTCGAAGAGGGAGCTAAGCACTGGCTCAAAAATTTTTTTCCATCTTGTTTGCAGTTAGCACCACAAATAGGATGTGCTTCCTCTGAGGGTTCAGTGTTTTTCAGTAACAGAATTTAACATAATTTATGACCTGGTGAACTGACTACCTGGCTTGGTACATAGGGAAACCCTGAGAATGCTTTCTCCAGGGTTTCTCCAAATTTTTGTCCAAAAATCCACAAAACCTCAAGTCTCCTGAGAGCTGAGTGACCATGTATACATTTAACAACAATTAAGAAATAAATCTGTAATCATTCAGCAAGGCATGTTAAGAAAAGAGCTGAAAGATCAACAGGAAACTGAGGTGAGTGGATAGAGCACAAGGCTGAGGTGAGAGATCTGTTACAAATTCATTATGCAATTCTATGCTAATTATTTTTAACCATCTGTTTATCCTTTGTCCCATATATAAAATGAGGAGAACGATATCTGTGCTTGAAATTCATAATCTTGATGTTTAGATGAAAAACACTATATTAGAGCAAAGATTTTATTTGAAAATCAGTGATGGGATTTTTTAAAGCACTCAGCTGCAATATTTCACTGAAAGTCACGGAAAAAAGGTGTGTTGCGTGGGCCTTGATTCACATTAGTGTAATATGATTGGAATAACCATTACTTTTAATAAAAAGTTCCGCATAGCTTTGTCACTTACAACTACAGGAAACAGTTGACATTTTCACTCATCCAGATGAAATCAAAATTAGAATTTTTTTTGTCTTACCAGATAGAAACAGGTATGTTTCCTCTAGAATTCTTAAATCCCTGAAATATTTGAAGCAACTGAATAGTAATAATAATCCAGAACTGTTAAGTTCTTAAGAGCCTTGCAGGTTGCAGGTATAGTGTTTTAAGTCCATTATTAATTTTGATGCTGCTGTGCTCCTTTTTTCTTTTTCTGGGGTCCTGTTGCTTGTTTTTCTGATACTGTTTCTCCACTAATTCAGCTGTGGATATATGACCCATTTTATCTGTCAATTTTATATAAAATGTGTATTGTGTGGGCAATTTGATATACATCATAAAATGGCAAACAAAATCAAATTACATCCTCCCTCTTGAGAGTATTGTTAGTATCCGCACCTGCGCTCTACCTGCTGCTCTCTATTCCATAAGTTTTAGTATAATGTTGCAAACCTCTTCAGAAATTTCTCTCTCTCCTTTGACAGATGAATGTTTTAAGATCTTTCTTTTCCCCTTCAAACATACAGTCCTTTTTAATTCTTCCAGTCTATTCCTGTCAGTGCCCTTAGGCAAATGGACAAAGTCCACTCATAAATGCAAAAGAAGTTTTAAAAATGTATTCTACAACAGACACAGAAGAACTGGAGATGGATATTCATCTATTGATTGATATATGTTGCGTTTTGTATGTGCTATCTTGGCGCTAGCTAGTTTGCAGTGTTGTACCATGAGTATTATATCACATTCTCTGACGTAGAGATCTTGCCTGCTTCCAGCTCTTCAAAGAGCTAAAGCCTGATTTTATTTCTGCAGCGGACTAGTTTCAGGTGTGTGATAAAAGGAAAGACTGGTGATAAAATAATAACTGTCACTTCTCTGCTTTCAATAATTATGAGGGAAGGGAAGTTTATCTGGGCATACACTGTGAGCAGGTGCCGATACATACCTGAATCGAAAGCTCTGCACTGAAAGTGGAGGAGCAGAAAATTATATGCTGTTGCAGTTGACCATACTGCTGCTTCCCTCAATGGCACAGAGCAGTGGTCCTGTAGTTAGATAAAATCAGCTACAAAATGCAAGTGATGAGGCTGTAGGTTCTCCTCTGTGCTTGTATTTCTGTGACTGCACAGTCCAATACTTAGGATACACGCTTATTATCTAAGTTTTGGTGTCCGGAAGTAGAAAGCAAGACACATTTTAATAGTTTTATTCATTGCAGCCATTTTGATTTTCCTGACTGCAAAGAGGAAAGTCGTCTCGTCCAAGAGTTCTACTTCATACCTGGTGTGAGGTTACTTGGTTTCAGAAATTATATTTGTCTGTATAATCCACTCTTGACCTGGTAATGGGAAAGATAAATTTGGAGGCTAAAACCAAAATACAGCTACAGAATGATAAAATGGAAAATACTAGTCTCCTTTATACTTATGGTATGGAACTGTTGCATTAATTGCATGTGGCTACTTTTTGTTCTGTAGGAAATATAAATTAAGACCCCAGCTGAATAAATTTAGTAAAAATAATACTCAAAGTCTTTTGATTTACTGCAGTGAGTTCCCCGATGGATGAAGTACTGGCTTCCTTGAAGCGTGGTAGCTTTCACTTAAGAAAAGTTGAGCAGAGAAGTCTCCCTCCCTTTCCTGATGAAGATGATAGCAATAACATCTTGGCACAGATCAGGAAAGGGGTGAAACTGAAGAAAGTGCAGAAAGATGTTTTGAGAGAATCTTTCACAATTCTGCCTGATACTGACCCTCTGACAAGGAGCATCCATGAAGCATTGCGACGAATTAAGGAAGCATCACCTGAATCAGAGGATGAAGAGGAGAGTTTGCCTTGCACAGACTGGGAAAATTAACCTGTAATTAACCTACATTTTAAAAAAATTATTTCTTCAACACTTTTTGTATAACAATAGCTGCTAAGCCTCAGGTTATGCATTCTAGGAGACTTAGTATGAATGCAGCTAAACTGTCCTTGACCTCCAACCTGATAAAAGTGCAAATATGAATTTAGTATCACTGACTTTTTAAAGGAATTTGAGGTTTATAGTAAGAAAAAACTTTTTTTAGGCACTATCTTAGCCTTTTTTTAATTTGAATACTTTTGCCGAATATTAACAGAACTGCTCCTGTAAAAAGCTCTATTTTATTTAGTAAATTGAAGGGACTGTTTGCAGCTTACAAAAAGCTTTTAAAAGCTTTTAAGTAACAAAGCAGCACAATCACTCCTGGACACACCCTATACTTCAAATATTTTGTAATTGCTTCTGGCATCGTAAAAAACGTAGCATGTTAAACACCTCAGATCGAATAGCTCCAAGTCAAGGATGATTAAATTTGACTACTGAGCACGCTGAAATCTCCTTGGTTCTTACCTTGTGTGGCTGGCCCTTTGATAGCTTGCTTTCCAGTGTGTGAAGACTTTGACTTCATTACATTTCGAGACTATAAACAGTAAATATACGAATACAATTTACACTTCTGCTATTCGTGCAAGTCCCATGAACTTACATTATATTAAACTACAGTGCCTCAAAGTTATAGATATTAGATTTCAGCAAATTAAGTTAATGACTTCAGAACCAAGCAGAAATTGGCAAGAGATGAAGTTTTCAAAACTTAATCTCTTAGTAGTAGCAGTAATAGCAGAGAGATTCTTGATTACAACCGCATACAGCGCTGTTCCTCTGTGGTGGTTCTCTTCTGCTCCTGGCACACGGATGAAATTAAGTGTAAGTCAAGGGTTCCAGTAAACTTTTTTGCAAGTATCTAAAATTTGGAGAAAAGAGATGTATGACAATCTGTAAAGAATTTAAAAATCTGTTCAGAAATCAAAGGATATTTCAAGAGAATGGAAAACAAATATTTATAAACCTTGCAATGCATCTAGCAGTAGGAAGAAGATAAAGTTTTTGAGTGTTTATGGGGAGGCAATTCTAGCCTGGTTAGTTATTACCATAGCTGGGGAGTGACTATCGATAAAGTGCTACAGCAGTTTAAAAAGTGATGGTGACTTACCCCATCATCTCCTGTATGTTGCGCTGATTATAAAGTACTGTGTTTCAAACTGTGCTATTGGTATGCTGTTTTCAAATACTACATTCTAAATTTTGAAAAAAGAAAATAAATGTTGCCTTTATTTCCTCATGAACTAGCCACGGACCACCCTAGTAATTTAATACTATTTACTCACGGCATGCTTCTTCTATACCAAATGTACTGCTAGTTTTGGACTTGGAAATTCAGGAGTGGAGTTGCACTTAACTCTTGCTGAAACTCATAGTGAAAGCAGTTCTGCTTGGATCTAACTGTAGTCACTGACCACTCTAACTTTTTATATTATTTGCATACGGAAAACTCCCACTGCCACAGCCATTCAGCAGTTAAGTCATAGCTAAAATAAGAAAAGACATACCTTGGAATTAACTTGACTTTCTCAGCGCATTCATTCTCTTTTAATTTCCTAGATATTGACCAAATTTAAACGTTGTGATTTGACTTTGTGGTTTTAGTAAACCTAACTTATTCCTTAGGATCTTGTTTGCGTTTTTAATAAGAATACTCTTTAATACCATAGGACATAAACATGGAAGGAGTTTATCCAAGAGTGGTTTTGAATTGTTTTAATCTAATTGGTGGACCTTTAAACATTTTCCAGGGGAAGTGTAGCCTCTTGTAGAAGTCTTATGTATTCCTTGCTGGATGATATACTTGCGTATGGGTTTTTTACCTTTTGCAGTCCTTTAGAAGGAAGTCGGAGTGCAGGTTGAAAGTCACTGCTATGAAGTACCTTTAGTGCACCAACTGCTATCTCCTTTTCAAGACATACTGTGTTGAATGTAAGGTATTTTACCAGTCCACAGTTATGACATTTTCCCCCTTTAAGGGTGCCGTCCTGCCAAATGCTGAGGTCCCTTGAACTGAGTGGGACCTAAGGCAGTATGCGCTGCTGGAGTTTTGAGTGTGCTCCTTGGAGATTTTTCACACGTCTGGGACTTGCCTTCTCTCACCAACATCATATTTTTATTATGAAAATAATGTAGTTAGATGAGATTATTTAACAGATAGCACAGATGATTTAAAAAAAAGGTATAAAAAAGCTAGCAAGTTAGAAAGTAAAAGCTTAGCCATACAGTGGAAGCGTACAAAATAATCTGATGTTAGGAACAGAGGGACTGTGAAATTCAGTTGAATAAGTACTTTTCACGTAGATGCGTGTGCTTACTTGAACGTATAAACTGATTACTGAGAATTCATTACACAAGAATAAAATCTATTAGAAGTCTTTTGCAGAAATTGCAGAAATATTTTTTAACTATAAATTTAGCAGTTTAATACCGTGCTTTATTAAAAAGATTGATCTGTTGATTTGTAAACTGTATGTTCTACACACAAAAAAACAGTTGCGTAGCAATTTTAGATAGAAAACAGTCATACAAAAGTATACGGGCACGTACATTACATAGTTTAATATATATAAATCCTTATTGGCTAAGTGTAATGTAATTATTTGCCTTAAGAATGAAAGTTAAATCTGATATAATGATGTATGTTTATCAAATGCAGAAAAGTGTCTTAAATTGTATGCAGCAGTGGAAAAGGAGAATATTAACAATGCAGGACTAATAGGCTGAAGTGATTTCTTTTAATTATTGAAGTTTGGAGACAGAATAATAGTAAGTGATTGCTACAGGCATTTTAGTTATCTCTTGTATTGCCTGCTTTGTGAGTTAATGTCTACATAAATTTACGTGACTGCCTTTTTAAGAGCAGTTTCTTCCTTACAGTCACACTAAACCATGTTCAGAAATACTGAGGCATTTTGTGTATCAGCTGAACAAGCAGCATAAAGATGCAGTAGTTCTGTATGAAAAAACAGAAAATCATTGGTTATCAAAAGTAGCCTGAGTCCTTCTGTGTGCATATACATAGTGGTGGTACCCACAAATGCCAGTAGTGCATTTCGAGTACTCTGCTCTAGGTGATGTGAAGTCTGGGTTCCTGGGAGTAATGGACAAAGTAGCTGGGTGAAGAAAAGACCTTTTACTCTCTATGGTCTTCAACTGCAGTATTTCAGGCCTCTCCAAGCTCTAATGTGTGTTCATTGCCAACGCCACTGTAAGGCAAAAGAAGCTGTGGTCATACTCGGTGTGTCCTGGCTCCTGAGCCAGCGTCGTTACACTGGGAGCAAAGAGAGAATCGAGGCTTTTAGCGGCCCTGCTCAGTATTGCATGCTTGGAATTGCCTGATGCATTGAACAGCGGGGATTGTTCAGCTGCTTAGCTTTTCAGCAGTTCCTCTTGTTTTTGTTTTTGTTTTTTTAAACAGGTGATTCACAACCACTGAAGTGAGAAAAGAGACCCCAGTTGAAGATTACTTTTCCTCTTCATTTCTGAAAATTCAGAGCCAGCAGTTTTGACCATCAATTCCACAGTAGGCTTTCTTTGGCAAAGAAATAGGCTTTCTTTGGCAAATGATTCAGTATGTGGAAAAAACAGCCTGAAATGTGAATTTTCAGGTCACTTTTTTCTTTAATTTGTTCCAAAAATTCTGGGTTGTACAGGAAGCTAACTTGTTTAGATGTGCATTTTATATAATCAAGAAGAAAAGATCATCAAGATGCTTTACCAGTTCTTAAGCACTTTTAATATTTGTGTTAATGATGTGTGGCCAGTTAAGTGAGGGGGGATTACTGAGTGGGGAGAAAACTTCTTGTTAGAGTAACTTTGGGCTTCGGTTAAAACATCAAAACAGCTGTAAAACCTACCCTTCACTGCACTGAATATATCATCTGCTTGAAAACTGACTAAATAGCTCTTTGCAGCAACGCTTGCTATGTAGCAGTGTGGTATTACAGAAAAGAGCAGAATTCCTAGTTTACCGGGAGAGTTGCACTACAGTAGCTGAAATTCAGTATTGTGCAACTAAGATTTTTTTCTTCTTAGTGTGAAGAAGTGTATGTCAGTACGAAAAATAACAAACGACTACAGCATAATGAGAATTAAGTGTTGAATTCAGTACATATTCAAGAGTTTGTTTGCTTCCAACATGGTACATTTAGCAAGGCATACTGCAGCACCTTTTTTGAAGGTCTTACGTAGTCTTAGACCTTTTTAAAGTAGACATTTCCATGCTTTTTAAAAATATTATTTAGCTATGCTGAACCAAGTTAAGTATACTTTATTCAGTTGTTATAAGAAGCAATATTTTGTAATTTCATACTTAAAATTATTTTTCTCTGGCTAGAAATGGCTTTTGTTTGATTACTTGTAAGTAGCCTTCTTTAAAAAAAGATCAGAACACTTAACCATACTGATACTTCAGTTGTGAAAATTATGCTTCTCTTGTTGGTTTTTATTATTCCCTTTAGTGGCTGCATAAATATTTCTGTTTCATACCCAAAAGCCTGTTAGCTGAAAAACAAGTTTCCTTTTGACCCTGTTGTTGTTTGTTTTTGTTTTTGTTATTTTTTTAGAAGGAGAGTTACAACTTCTCTGCAGTGTATACCTGGAAATAACCTTAAATTTCATGACTAATGGCTGCAGGCAGCTGCTCTTATGATATTACAATATTAAGAGTTATGTCAGTACAGAGATACAAGTAGTCTTGTACCATCTAGAAACTCAACCTCTATTGCAATTTCAAGAAAACTAAGTTTTTGCTAGCATTTATTTTTACTAGCATGACATACACTGTGTTTGGGAAAAATACCATCCCTTTCCTTTATAGGATATGTTCCACTCGCTGTTCCTTTTGTGAAAGATAAATTACTATGTGGATATTTTTTTTTAAGTGGAGTTATGTGTTGCTGCTGTCATATAATGGAACACAGACTGTGTTAATGTTTATAACAGGAGATTTCATGTCTTGCTATTTACATTTTAAAATAGGAACAGGAGTACACCTTAGCAATAGGTTGAATAACGTAAAGGAACCTCAGATCTTGGACCCTTCAGCTGTTTTGCTGTGGCTGTCCTGAAATTAAAGTTCTATCAAACATCTCAAAAGGATGTCACTTTATCCTTGCTATTGACAGGCATTCTCTTAACCTTGTTGCCTTATTTTTAAAGTTAGTGAACGCTCATTACAAAGCACCTGTGAGCAGCGTTATTTCAGAGTTGTATCAGTTTTGCTGTATGAATTATTTGTCAGGTCTGTGTTCTTCTCTCGTGGGAAGACCAGCTCTATGAAACATCTGACTGTTCCCAGGCTTTCCAAGGACCTGAAAATACAAGATTTTTTTTTTCCTTAGACTGCTTCTACTAACCCAGAGTTGCATGGTGTGGTTGTAAGTAGTCTGATGTTATATTTGGGCAGCAGTTACAGTAATTTCAAAATTTTTCATAATCATTTGACATAGCCTGTACTGAAGGCAGTGGTGTATTTCTGCTCTGCAGTTGTCTGTATTTCCAGTCACACCACTCTTGAAAACTGAATGAATTTATAGCCATAACACAACGCAGAACTATGATTTCGGTGGGTAATTCAGGTGATACAGTTCACGTACAACTTAGTGCTAGATTAATAGTGTTGATTGGGCAACATCTATTTCCATTTTCTCCTGTTTTCTAGTCTGCATTTATATGCCTTACCGCATGCATATGGGACACTGGCAAAATTCCAAGTCAAGGGAAAATATATGATTTAACATAGAGGTGTATCGGTCCTCTTGCACAATGTTTGCGTCCACAGTTTATCACTGTGTTGTGATATATCCAAGTAGCTCCATGCTGTACTGTACTGCAGGGTTTTCAGATTTATTTGCCATGTGATCTGTCAACTTTGCCTTGAAAACGTGTGCATGATTTCAAATAATAATTGTCCTTGATTTGTTTTATACCTAGCTAAAATCTTAGATTCCTGTAATAGCTTAGTTTATAGAAATGGATTTCTCATAGGAACATGTATTTTATGCACACACAAAAATTACTTATGCTGAGCGTAGCAGTTTATATCCATTCCAATTGCCATCTTCAATGTGGAAGATAAATGTTTTCTTTCCACATACTGCTAAAGAAAAAAAAAAATTTAAATTTTCCATGAGTCACTAGATGTCACACTTTCATATAATTCTCTACTTTGGTATAAAAATTGTGCATATGTCGTATATAGGCTAATGCATAAAACTATTCCCATCCTTCTTGGTAATGTGAAGATTTGTAGCCGGGTGGCTAGAGCAGCTAATGGGAAAAGTCTCATGTATATTCACAAGAATCTTAAGTTATGACAATCTTGCATTGAGTTTGGCACCTGTCTAGCTGAGAAAAGCTCTAAAAAAATGTATTGGTGCTTGAGAAATCATAGCAAGCATCAATATGGAAAGGATACTTACTCCTAAATATATGCAAGGAAAGAGCCTCCATGAAAAAAACCTTTCTACACATTTCTGGTATTTGCCATTGTGGCTGGACTTCATTGTTGTGGCTGCGTTGCTCTATTGCTAGACATTTATCTTAAGCAACTTGTCAGCTTTCAGGCTCTCTCCATGCCTGGAAACTTGCTTTCTTTGTTCAAACCAAAACCGTTTAAGTTTAGTATAACAAATCCAGTGAGGTAAAGAGTTAGGATGCATAATGTTTGTTCTATAACTGCATATTTGAGGACTGAAAATCTTTCATGAGTGGGAACAGGAAATGAAATATTAAATTTCTATTAAAATAACTAAAATGTAAGGTAACCAGCAGGAGCCTTTTGATCAGAAATGGAATTTGCATCTACATGAATTTCATTCTCTCCTTCATAGAGGCTCTAGATCCAGTGTTCTTATTTTGTTCACTATTTTACTATGTTTTCATGTTTTAGTTAGAGCTTTCATCTACCCTAAAAAGGCAGCTTATTTTCCTTAAACAACTCTTTCAAGGTTAAAAAAAAATCTGACAGTCTGCATCCAACACCAGATATCTGTAAAAATAAATTAGTATGATCATATGTTGTGTTCTTTTGTGGCTGCATCAGGGGTAGAATTCAACATACTTTGTAAAGAATCATTTTGGCTATGAGCACTATATTCTGTAAAGTCTAATGTTAAAGTAATGACAGGTGTATTATGGAAGATGCAACTTATTGAGAAGAGGAAGCAGAAACTTTTACTGGTTAATGTTACCCTTAATTCCATTTGTTGCACTGAATTTCAAGAGTGTAATTTGTAAATCAAGGTTACTCACCTGTGTAAGCAGATATTATTTTCATTGTAATGCTTATGTAATTACCTTACCTGTATTTATTTTTGGTAATGATTCCATAAGCATGAGCAATATATTGTTATGTTTAGTTCTAGAGAAATAATGTTAAGAACAAGCAAAGATTATTGCAAAGCAAAGGAGTAAGCAGAAGCACCTTACTGGGAGAGCGTGTTGCATAATTTGAACGCTACTGGAGGTGGCCCAGTAGCACATTCTGAACTTGATTGCAAATTGCTCTTTGGTGTAGTAAGCACATTGACATATTGCTATCAATGCTGTAAAAAGTACAGCGATGGCTGTTTTTAACCTATAAATATACTGTAATTTAATTTTTTTCCTACAAAACAATTTATATTTAATTGCTGCCTAATACATGTACTTAAAATTAGAATTTTTAGGAGGGACGAGGGTGGGTGGGCATACCAGTCTATTTTTGGGAGGGGCTGCTGTATATACATGTCTTTGCACTTCCCGTTCAGTTTCACTATTAATCCAAAACCCCCAGCTCTGACTGTGGTCAATCTGCAACCTGACATTTATGTATTTGTATTGTGATTCAGGTCTTCTCTAGTCTGTGGCCCAGAGCTTCAGAATTTGACAGAAAAGGTCGTCTTTCCATTCTCAAATGTGAATGCTCTGATGTACCTCTAATATGGAAAATGACCAAGCAATGAATTTTACTCTGCTGAGTGTAATATCAATGGAGACTATTATTTGAAGCTGATATCTAAGGCTACTACTAACCAGTAGTGTGTCCCTTTGGAAAAAAAATAAGAATGATGATTGCTGTTTTGGTGAGTACAGTCTAACTCTTGACAGTTTATTCAAGAGACTGTCACCAATTCAGTAACTAATTTGCCTTAGACTAGCTTGATTTTTCAGAGTCCTCTAGGAAATTTTTTTGATTTCTGAATTGGGGAATAGGCATTGGGAACTAGGGACACTCACTAACATCTCTCAACATGTTACTGTGGTTGCTATTTAAGTTTTGGATTTCATTTTACATATTTACAAATAACATCATCATAAGATGAAAGCTCAAGAAATACAGACGGCTGCAGATTGTCTTGCGTGAATGAAGCCGGGGAAGGTTAATGAAAACTAACTTCTTTTTTTTAAGCCTGTTGAATAAATGAGAAATAATCAAAGGAAAACTGATTTGCCATTCACTAGCTTTGTGCAATACTATAGGTAGAATCAAACACTAGCACATTGTGCTTGGCTTTAAGAAAGTTCTTTCACACCGTTGTATTCCAAGGACATATTCAATGCATATTTTATTGTAAACGACTGCAAATTTACTATACCTAATAGTGCTCGATGTTCTAAAGTATTAAGCAAAAAGTGTGTTTAAAAAAAAAAGGTAAAAAACTAAGCAAACATTTCTAGCAATACCTAAAAACTAAAAAGTTATAACTGTTTGCCTTTTGCTGTTTTTTTCTTTAGTGCAGCTTTTCTGCCATGCAAGTTTATTGCTGTGTATTTCATGTTTTTTACTATCATGACTCGAGTTTAAACCTGTACACAAGAGTACTGAACTCACCTTCTTGTACATGCGATGTAACATCATACTCACAGTTTTGGTGCTTAAACATGATTCCTTTTTTCTTTATTAAAGGATATTTATTTGACCACTGTCTCATTTTAAATTCAAATGCATACCTACTTTTGAAAAAACATTTCAATACAGTTTAGTTCACACAGAAAATGTCATATGTTCTTCATAGGTTTCCACTGTTATCATTCGTTTAACTCCTCAAGCTGCCTAACTCGGTTATTGCTTTATTGCACATGGTTGTGGCAAAGCTATGCTGCACCAGAAAATAGTTATATTTAGGTAACATCTTTGTAAACTAAGTAACATAAAAGATGAGATTTTATAGAGGAGTCTTGCTTTTAAAGGATGCAGGAGGGTTGAGCTTAAATACAGATCAAAAACATTTTCCATCTCTTAATCAAAAGACAAAAACACTATATGGAAAGAGCAGAAATTTAAACCAAGAAATATTAAGAGCTTAGAACTCTTAATTCTCTTACCTTTTTCGAGCTAACTAGTGGTAATACTGTAACATGAAGAAAGAGCAAGCCTCCAAATGCTATCACTTAATTTAAAAAGATGAGTAACAATGATAACATAAAAGATTAAATCCAAAACATCTAACTTCTCCAATTTGTTTTTTTGTATATGTACAATATAATCATTCAAAAGCAAACGAGATTGCATATGAAGGACTCATATCTTAAAAAGATTTGAAAATACGTCATCTATAAAACCTCAGTTTAGGTTTTCTGTTAAATGTGCCTTTGAGGTTTACTGTATAAATTGCATTGTTTTTGTCTAGGAACATTATTTCTGATTTCAAGTACAGCAGGTGCAGTTCTGGCTGGGGCTTCTGTGACGCCAGAGTGAGTATGAAGTTGTATTGCAGTGTTTGCATGTTGAGAGACATGAGTCTCTCACCCCCTAAGACTTTACCAGCTACTCTAGCAGGAGGAGATAGTCAACTGACCTAATGAAATGCTGGTTTGAGTTGGTTAAAAAGATGCAAATAAAACCCCAAGGCCTTTCTGTCAGAAAGATTTCTGGTGCAATTTATGGACAGTGCCTTTAAAAGGGTCTTTGACATTTTCCATGGTTAAGAATTGTGACAGCCTGAACACAGCCGTCATGCTGGGTACTTCTGTAACGCACTGTATTTATACAATAACTTTGAGTGTTTTGAAGAGTTTTACCTTTTTATTCTGGGGGGAAAAGAAACCAAAAATACACAGCTGATCATTTCTCAGACTACATTTGTCTGTTTTTTCTTTTATTTTCTTTATTTTCTATTTTTTATTCTTCTTTCTTTTTTTCTTTTTTAAAAAAATATATATTTATTTTGTGGTATTACTAATCTAGACATAGACCTTATTGAAAATATTCATGGTGTGCAGGAATATGTTTGTATTGTGCCTCTTTTTCCTTTCACTCCTGTGTTCCTGGTACAGGAACTACATTGCAGGTAAGTCAGTGTAGGCAAGAGTCTTAAGCACAGATGACACATTAACCTGAGAAAAAAAATAAACTGTGTATTTATGGAACAGGGACTTCTCTGCACATATAATCCTGAGAAAACAGGAAAAAGCTATGATATGATTTCACATTTTTAAAACCAATGTGAAACAAGAGGTTGTACAATTGTACACTGCAAAATGTCTTATCAAAAAATAACATTCCCAGGTCTGTCTCAGTTTTTCTAGTATGGTTTTTCAGTTCAGATGATAATGGCATGTGCTATTAATTTCAGATTGTGCTAGAACCAGTAGGAAATGTGTGAAATGCCTGAAATTAGTGAGTTCTTAACCATTACTGTGACTTTTCTTGTGAAAGATCAGGGTTATATTTACAACAAGGGGCAGTTCCTAAGTGCTTTTCACTGTGCGTCAATGTGTGTGATCGCTCCTGGTGTGGTGCAGGTCTCCACACCAGCTACTCTGCAGAGTAAACTTGCATTTAAGAATGATTGTTGGCATCAGCTGGTGCTGCTCAGCTGGTACTTGGCTTGAGTAGCTAAGTAGCTGCATTTTATAACTTAACCTTTACGAGTATTCTTTCTTAACAGCTTGGAAGTATATTTAATGCATGTATTGGAATTGCAAATTAGTGACTAAATCAATAAGCACATTTAGAAGGCAGTGGTTAGTTACTCAGAAGAAGGCCTAAATGTTTGTACAACACATAGAAGATGGGAGATGGGTAGAACCACCCTTTATTATTTTCATATTAGTTACATGTCAGATGTAAAGGAAAGGTACATTGTAAATAAATCCTCATTGGGCCACAGTCTTCCTCAAACTTACAAAACAACATCTCTTTCTCACAGAAATCATTGGCATGTTTAGGGTTAGTTTCTTTTACACCAGTTCATGCTCAGCAGAAGGGTGTGGGGAAGGGAGAGAACTGAAAATGGGAAGTGAGTTTAAAGTGTCACATCTCTTCTGTCAAAAAGTGTGGAATGTTCCTTTCCTGAGCAGGACTTCCTACTGCTTCCCATCACCGAGAGAAACCCCTTTCGCAAATGTTAACTCTTCCTAGAGTAGGAAGGAAGCTCACAAGAATCCTGGACTTCTAGGGTAATTCTGAACCAACAAACCGCCACCGAGAGCAAAGCCTGAGCTTTCTGCTTACATGACCAATAGCTTATCTAGCTCTAATGCTACCGAGTTTTGTCACCATGTTTATATCTTTCAGGGATGATGGATGTAATTAACCCAACTGTAAAATGTCCTGTGTAAACTTCAGTGTATCATGTAGGCCACTTAATTCACCTGTTAGAAGCATCACTTTGCTGATATAAACTGCACTATAGTAGAAGACTATTTCAAAGGTTTTACCACTCAGTTATACCGGCGTTGCAACATAAACGGTCTTGTTCACAGAAATGCTGCAAGCCTCTGCCCAATTTTCTGTCCTGCAGAACTGTAGACCTGTCTTATTACCACTGCGATGCTTTCCTGTCTTTTTCCCCTTTGCTCTTAGACTCTCAGTTCTGTCCCTTTATCTATACTTTATGCAAAGCTACAGCGCTGTCATGTTTTCCATCTAGACATTCATAAGCTTAATAAAATAAAGGATAACGCATCTCCCTTGGAGCCCTGTCTCAGCATGTAACAGGAACGGCCAGTGGATGAAATCGTGCACAGAGCGTTACCTGCGCCGCTGCAGCTGCTGTCTGGCTGCTAGGGGTTCACTCTCTTCTCGTTAATCAACCAAACCTCTAGCTAAAAAAAAATCAGGCTCTACCTTTCAGACCAGTCCTTGCATTTGCGTTCTCCTCCCTTCTTCATTCC